GTGCTGACCATGGCAAAAATAAAGGTCTCATGCTAGAGAGAAGGCGCAGTACAATATATCAGGTCTGATATCTTACTGGTATGAAGTACGCTGATATTGCCCTCGTGAGTAGTAGCGATAGAGGGCTCTGTCGCCTAACAGCTACCGTGTGCGGCATAGCTGCGAAAACCAGCCGATTCCTTAAACCCGGAAGTAAAGTTATGAAGAACCCATCCTGTACAGATGATTTTCACATTAAACATGTAAGGGAAGCGAGTCAGGAGGTTGAATAATTTAAATATCTTAACTCCAACATCATCTCCAATCAGAATTAGACAGAATATTCGCTTCTGCCGCGAATGCTCTTCGCAATCATTCAGTATTTGAGCCGAAAAGTAGTACCCCTTATCAGGATCACGTAAAGAATGGCTATTCTCTTTCGGGCAGAGGTGATGTGATCAGATATGAAAATAAGAAAAGGAGATCAGCTCTGTTACACACACTAGTTGAGCATTATCACTTACTCAAGGTCTCAGCAGCTCGTTTGGGAGCCGAAATTCGACAGACATTAATCATTAGACCAGCGTGCAACATGCAGAAAGAGGGTAGAGGCATATCTGCTCTCGAAGAGGAGGCCCTACTGCGATGCAGCAATCACTGTCTTAGCAAAAGTATTGAAAAATGCAAATCCATAAGGAATCATAAACCAGTGACGATTTACTTAAGCAAACGGCTCAAATTAACGATCTCAATAAACACAAAGAAACGAATTGCACAATCAGATTATTCCTAGCTAGAAAAATGAACAAATCCTTGAAGGAAATAGAGGTAGAAAAATAATTTTTCCGTTTAAAATCCAAAACGGATTGAGTGTATACAAAACTTATCGTAACATTTTTCAACATTATTTTTGGAGGAAGTACACTTAGGAATCTCTAGCCAAAATGTCGTTGAGTTTGCCTGACTTGATACCATCAAAATGGGGATCGACTATGCTGAACTGCAAAACAATCCCGGAGCAGAACGTGACGACCACCAGTTAGTTGTACATAGCGAAATTCAGGATACGGATAAAGCTAGTCACGAAGTCAGATACATTCTGACATCGAAAATTTTAAGAATAGCATGAAAACCGTTTATTTATAGATAATGCAAAAATTGGTCAGTCAGAAGATTGACAAATACCGAAGTTTCGCCTTTCTCTCACGGGCTATACGAACTTCGACGAAAGCTTCGTTCAACGTTCGTATATCATGATTGACAACCCAAGAACAAACAGCAGGTCTCCCACCGATGAAGTAGTACTGCGCGGAAGTATACAGCGTGAGCACCCCAGTTACATCTATTTGAAGGTCGATTATGCAGTTAAGAAACTAAAATAATGAAAAGCTGCCGGTCCTGATGGCATTCCAATAGAATTATTGGAAACAAGGAAAATGGTGAAGGAGCTGACAGCTTAAAGACTTCGCACATTAACAGGATCTGGGTTAAGGCCACGAGCGCGCGCAGAAATACCTTTTCATCACGCTTCTGTGATTTAGCGAGCTGATACGGGTGAGTAGCAAGACGTTGACACCTGTGTGCAATATTGGCAGCGGTGGTGTTCTTGTGTGGACATGTCAGAGTGATCGAGCCTTATGATTATCTTTCTGTGTGCGCCTCACGGTTGCAATTCGCTTGAACCAAACGACAGCTGACTAAAAATCAGCATAACTTATTAACGCTAATAAAATAAATGAATACAGTGCGGCATGTCATAGCATCAGCCAGGACTTTTCCATGGTTACTGGCTACGTTCTATCCTTATCATTCTCAAAAGTTACCTAAGTTATTTCGAAACACAGTGGGACTTCCAGTGAGTGAATCAGTTTGAGTCATTTCCAATGAGTGATTAGCTTTTCGGATCGCGCAAGCAGCAACGCTTGGCGGTGTCTCCAACGTTCGCGATCTTGTGCCAGTATCTCTGGCAGAAGGTATCCTTGGTCAGAGGCAAAGCTCGCCGAGGCACCTGCTTCCAACCGTTATGCATGTTGTGAGGCACTAGATAAGTTAAGCACTTCCTCATTGCAATGTCTGTTTTAGAAGCAAATATACATTTATGAAACTTTCAGTGAATATGCTTAAATACAGTATTAACAGGAGCGAAAAACAAAATCATTGTATTATAAAATAATGTTCATTGAAGCATCGTAGCATTATAAAATCCAGAAAGGCATTTGATTAACGGAATAAGATTATTAAAGCATTTACAAATAATAAGATGCAATCACAAATTCTCTTAAAATCAATCTAGGAGAGTTTATCAAACTGTAATCCTCAAAGGAATGCAAACAGCCTACTTCTGTATCGGGAATCACAACATAAATGTGAACTACATTTGCATATAGTCAGCCGTGTTATACTGTGTAAATCTGAACTCGTAATGTCTGCACGCCATTTAACGTTCATATGAAAACTTTCGTTTATATTGGCACTATGGCACAAACAGTCATCGTCTATGCAATAGGATAAGAAGTTAGCACTACATGAAATCGAAATGATGAATACAATAAACAGCGCTGTTTGAAACCCTTGCCCACAATGAAAATGCATGGAATACTTTAAACATATATGGAGTAAGCTTTCAAAATGGGTACAGCGGACACAGAATACAATAAACGTGTCGCCATGACATTAACGAGCAGACTGCATACCTGCCGGGACAGCATTTGCGATTTCAGACAACAGAGGTTGCTCAAATGACGGAGGGTCAGAACCTCCAAAATATCTCATATGATTGCTACGCCCTCCAACAAACTAATAAACCATGGCAGTAAGTAGGTGATAAGCATCTCTAATGAACATTACTGGCGTCAAAAATACTTCAAAAATCGCCATACTTTATTTCCATGAAAACAATAATGGAGTAGTCCAGCGCTGCAGTAAAACACAATAGCTTACATAACGATTTTCAAAACCAAAAAGATTGGAAGGTTTGGACTAATTGCATTGCAAAGAACGAAACCGAAGAAAAAACAGATTGAATTTTCCCGAATCATAAGGAAAGTTAAATCAATCATACGGCGATTTAACATTATCTTCAACATCACACACAAGGCCTTACATCAAAACGCTATTTACAACTGAAATTTTCAGATCATTCACATCTGGTGTTGAGTGAAAAATATGCATTTGATATACCACAGATACATTTCGCTAACGTACAGAAGAGGGTAGACGGGACTGATCAGGTAACGAATCGACATGTTTCGACAAATCTAGTGATTCTTGGGTAACCATTTCTAGTTTTTTCTTCCATTCAGACAAAATGGCGGCATCTCTATCCATTTTTGCCTTGTGTTCGAGAATACACGCATCCAGTTTTCTGAGTATTTGGTTTCTATCTACCAGCTCGCATGTCAAACTATAACCAATATCAGACACCATTATATTTAAACCGCTGCAACTGTCTTACCGATCACTATGCCCGGTTAACAGCTTGTCGGCTTCATAAACCAGTGCCGAAAACTTTTCAAATTCTTCTTTGGTAGTCAGCTGTTTGATAGACGAAATGTCGGCAACATCAGGAGGAAAACTGGCGATCTTTTCTCTGAACCAACAAAATCAACTGGCTAATAACAGCTGAACTCAACTCGCATCACCCACTCTAGCATTACACACTTACAACACTATACAACAAACGCTTACGCTGCTTGAACAAATAAAGCTTAATAAAATGTTCAACCGTTGTTGAAAACAATAGCCATAGGCAATTGAACAGACTGCTATTTCTACAGAGTAGCGACTGAAACCCCGAATCATGATATTTATGACTCCATCGCTAAATTTAATAATCACTGGATCACTAGAGTGTGAAAACAAAATATC